AATCTATAACCGCTAGTTACATTTCACAACTATATAACACAAAGATGAATGTATCATGCTAAAGCTTTCCAAACATTATTGCAAAGCTCACAACAAGTAACGTTTGAGCCTTTTAATCTGTTAAGCCCCAAGCCTGTTTTTCAGGTCTCAGGCTCGAAAATGACATTCCCAGAACAAATGACCATATCTTCCCTTCTAAAAGGGTTAAATTAATAATCTTTATTCTCAAAGTAATGATAAACCTGTGAGTTGGATGTAGAAAAGTCAGAATCAATATAGATGTTTTTTATTTTAAAGAAAATTCAGATTTTACATAGTAAAAAACAGTAAATTATAGTGTCCGTCCAAATATTATTTTTACTTATAGTGAAAACTACCCTATTGGATGATAGTAAGGTATCCATATCTCTGGCTTCCCTTGCTCGATTTTGATGGTTGACACCTCTTTCTGACCGTTAAGCCAATAAACGAAGGGGGAGTCCCCACACACACTAATTGTGAAGAGAAGAGGTGGGGGCTTCGCGCATGTAATTTAGCATCACAGTGAACCTATCTCTCGCTCTGACATCTGGAACGGAAAGCAGTTTTAATGCTTATGGATTATCAGAAATCATTTCAAAGGGACACAGACACATTGGATTAACCTATGGATTAACTTCAGCAGCGTTTTTATCGTTTTAATGCCATTGAAGACCACTTTGGAGAGACTACAGAGCCAAGGTAAAAATGTTAGCATTTTTAGCTACCTAGCGTCACCTGTTTTGATGTGCGTTTTGCTTATAACGTCGCCATTTCGTATAATTCAGTGATAATGTGGGTGTCCATCGATTCTGTGTCACCTCACGATGTGAAACGATGTGTTGGATGTAGAGAAGAGATAAATAATAAGGTTTTGTGAGTGGTTTTCGGTGCAGTAAGGTGTTAGCATTTTTCGCTCGTTGCTAATTCAGAGGCTCAGTGTTAGCATTGTGGCTTTTCTTTTGAAAAAAAAAAAAAAAGATCAGTTAGATGTGTTTCTTCTTCTTCGTTACATGGATTAAAACATTCATAGTTTTATTAAAGGAACATGCGGCAGTGCCCCGGTACCGGGGTCTCTCGTGCTTAACAGGTTAATGAAAGCAAACTGTTTGCTGTTGCTGATTACGTCGCCCACTAAGTTAACTAACGTTAGTCAACAACAACACTTACTGACCTAAAATCTTACCTTGCAATAATTACACGGATACAATAGTTTAACTCACCTTCAATTATCGTGGTAGTCTCTCGAAACGTAGGTTTCAATCTTGCTTGGATGCAACAGCCTCTGATCCGAGATGAAAAGTGTTTGTTTTTCTTTCGCGCGCTTCAGCCGGACAGGGAAAGTGAGTGCACCGCTCTAATGTGTCCGACTAGAATGACGAATAACGTTAGTTCCGCCTATTCCGTCATCCAATAAATCGTTTAATAATACACTTTTCATTTTCAGGGGGCCACAGGGTCAGTGTTAGGGGGCATCACCCCCCATCCCCCCCCTGCATTCTAGCAGGACCACATGGTATGTTTTTATTCCCCATCCATTACAGTAGCATAGCAAGGCATGTCACTCACTTTTACCATGTAAATTACATGTTAATTCCTGCTTTCTGTTTTTGTGTTACAAATGCATCTTATTGTATTAGTGATTATGATCAAACCAAAGGTATAACAAAATACTACTTGTATTTTGCCTGCCATTTTATATTTTTTATTGAGAAATTCTTGTAATTCTTGTATTATTTTCATTTTGCTGAAACCTTTATGTTTTAAAATGTGCAGTCTTGTTTTGTCTGATCACTGGGCATGTTCCTTTTGTGATACTATAACAATACATAGTTTAAATGTATATCTGTGTTTTAATGTTTTGTGTAGTGGATTCATTCATCCTCCCATGCCCCCCTGTCAAAACCTCTTGCGACCCCTTTGCCACCCCATGTAAAATGGTCTAGATCCGCCACTGGATCTAGATTTTATAAGGCCTGGCAGCCATTGATCACACACGTAGAGAACTGCAAGCTGGACTTAACTCTTTAAAGAAGATTGTGTATATATTTGAGTGTTGCTGAATCTGGGCTACTACCATCTCTAAAGCAATATTGTAAGTTTTGTATATATTTTGTCTTTGGTTTGTCATTTGCTTTGTATTTAAAAAAATGTTTAGAGTCAATTGTGAGAACGTGTACACTTATCTCATTTACTCTGTTTCTTTATTTTTTGTTTTTTTAATTTCATGCTGGGGTAGGGGTGGGGGGTATATTTGATCTGCTTTTTGGCAGTCTGGTTTAAATGTGCACTGTTGGATCTGTATTTGACTGCGCAATGACATTCTGTATGACTTTTTTTATAATGAAAACCTTCAAAAATAATGTGTGAAAAAACAAAAAACAAAGAGTGCAGTCTCAATGCCGAGGCTGCTGTAAAGCTATTAGCTCTAACAGGACATATTGAACTGAATACAGATCACCAGCAGAGGGCATCAGCTCACTGTGGAAAAATAAAGCTATCAAAATGATAGTTCAATTCTTTCTTATCCCCAGTAAATTGTGATACTTCTGTTAAATTCACCATATAATACCTAGAAATTAAATATTTAGATATTAGGATTACATTGGAAGAATAGATAAAAACTGTTAAACCTCCTTCAGTAATAACTCTCATAACAAGCAGTTACATTATTTAAGTTTGAAATATAATGCCTTGTTTTTGTGTTTTAAGCCATACAAAGGGATTATACTGTCTGTATGATTTTACTGATTGAATGTATTATATTATCAATAACAGAGGCCTAGGCATGTTTCATTGTGGGGATCAACACAAGTCTGTGAAGCATCAACAGTGCCTAGCAGACTGAGCACTTGGTTGCTATGGATACCAGTTGCTCATTGACTTACGTTGTATTTTGGGTGCAAACAGAACGTTTCAGTTTGACTCCAAAACTGGGAATGTTTCTCTGTGAATTAACAGGATTAGCAGAAATCAAGTCAGATTAATGACCTGATTGATTCATGGGGAAAATATTCTTCTACTTGCTGTTAAGTGAACAAAGCCATATATCATGTTTGAAAGATGACACAAGATATCTGAGCTTACTCCCTCATGTTGTTCAGACCTTCCTGTATTAGACATCACCCTGGTCTTTGCTGGGGGTGCATTTGTTTACACTTTAACATTATGGCCCTTAATTCTCTTCCTTTTGTTAACTTTTCCATTAAGGTGTAATCATTTAAATCAACATGGTGTAATACATTTTTGGGGGCACATTTTTTACACAAAAACAACAACAAAAAGTTTTCAAGGTCGACACCTTGGGTACCCTGATGTTAGCTCCGGAGCCGTGCTGCTGCTTTGTTCAACCCCCCCAAGTGCTGAAGAGAGGGCATTCTGCTTGATTATTATTATGACCATAGGCTAGTCTGGCTCGGACAGTACACCACTTCCGGCAGTGGCTCAGTCAGTAGGGGCTTGGCCTGTGAGCCTGCGTGCGTGTGTTTTGGTCCCAGAAGGAGAGGTGAATGTTTGTTTGTGAATCACTTTTGTTTCGTCCAACTTATAGTTTGTTTTTGTCATAGTCCCCCCCAAAACAGCCATGCTGTCTGGGGGTTTCCCCCGACCCGTGTGTTTTTTTCGTTTTGATGGATATACTGGCAACGAAAACTGGAATGGCTTTATCGACTGCGTCACGGATCACGGACATTGAAACATTACAGCGGAGTGCGGAGAGGGATGGGAAAACTGTGAATGAACAAGGAAAGGACAATGACAACGAAAATGAGCGGACTTAATACGAAAAACAGGAGTGGGGAAACAAAAAGAGGTGAGAGAGGAGTTGGAGTGGGTGGTGGAAGAGGAGAAATATAAAAAAGAGCTTACGGTGGTGGTGGTGGAAAGCGGAAAAGCAGTGGTATCTGTAATGGATCTGCTAAAAGGAGTTAAAAAAGAATGTGGAGTGGTGATGGGGTGCAGGGTGAAAGGAGACGGCCTATATGAAGTGACAATGGCTGATGAAAAAGGAAAATAAAATAATGGATGGGATAAGGATAAACGGAGCCATGGTGCGGGGCAGAGACTGTATGATAAAATAACTTACAGTATCATTCCGAACTACCGGCTTATGTATTGGATACAACAATTAAGGGCAGATTGGCAATGTGGGGGGTTCTGCCTGTCTCGGCAATCAAGAGAAGAGTGTGGCCAGGCACAGAGTTTGCAGACGGGACGAGGTTCCTGCGGGTGGAATTCAACAAGGAAGTAAGGTCACTCCCATACTCAACTAGATTTGATACTCTCGAGGGTCCGGAGTACTTCAGGGTGATCCACGATAAGCAGTACCGGTCTGCAGGTTGTGCATAAGGCCAGGGCATTTATATAAAGAATGCCCTGAGTTCAGACTAATAAATGTGCCAAGCAGGGACACTATGCCCGGGACTGTGTGGCTCGGGAAGAGGGGCGAGCGGAGCCAGGGGGAGAGAAAGTGCCCAGGCGGATAAAAACAGCTGAGAATGACATAGAGGAAGAGGAGGTGGAAGTCAGGAAGAGAATGAGGAAGAGGGCAGAAGTGATGAGGCTGGGAGCAGTATAAACAAAGATACTGTGGCTGCTGTTGTGGCTATTTTTGTTGCTGCTGCTGCAAAGAGAGCGCTGGTACGGCTGCGCTGACGGTGGAGGAGACGGAGGGAGGAAGAAGGGGAAAGCAGACGACGGAGCTGCTGATGTTCCTGCTGCTGCGGATCCTCTGTCGAGGAGAGGTGAGGGTTTGGCGATACTGAGGCGGATGCTGATGTGGATGTTGATCCGGATCCGGATGCGGATGCTGAGGCGGATGTGGATGCTGAACCTGATCCTGATGCTGGAGGAGGAGCTGTCGGTGGGAGGAGAGGAGGAGAGGAGCATGGACGAGGAGGTGATGGTGGAGAGGGGGACAGACTGCTGAGGAAATGGAGGTCAGTTCGGTCGTGGTCTGACATGGAGGAGGGAGGAGACTACGAGGAGAACGAATCTGATGGAGAGGAGGTGGAGATGACGGGACCTCTGGGGGGGAAGATCTGTGGTGAGACTAATGCTGTGATAAAGAGCAAGGAAGGAGGAGAGAATCTAGCAGGCTCACTGCAAAGAGGAAAGCAGAGAAGGATAAAGAGGTGGAGAAAAGACGGGTGAAAACGCCTGCAAAATGTTTTGCAAAAAAAACATAGAATGAATACATTACAACTATCATAACACTCGTAATGGTGACAATTTCCTCCTTCAATGGTAATGGGCTGAGGTCCAGGACCGGAGAGAAAGGCCTTAATGATATGTGGCTCAGACATTATATGCTTGCAGGAGACACATTGGGATGAGAGGTGTGGAGGATGTAAGGAAAGAGTGGATGGGAGAGGTTTATGTAAATAATGGGAGTGTGGGTGCTAGAGGGGGGCAATATTAATTAAAGCAGGGGTGGTAACGAATGTAAGGAAAGTTGAGGATGTGTTGGGAGAATGGTTGGGATAATGTTCGAGTGTATGGGGGAAACTTTTAGTGTAGTAAACGTTATGCACCGAATGAGATAAGGAGGAGGAGGGAGTTTTTTGAAGGGTTGGAGGGTACATGTGGGGGAAAACTGTATGATTGTTGGTGATTTTAATGTGTGGTGTTCAAAACTGGATGTGTCTGTTAATATGTGTTTTAATAGTGATTCATCACGTGGTGCTCTCAAAACAATGGGGACAAATGGGCTGCTGGATGTGTGGAGGGAAAGGAACAGTAGGGAGCAGCTTTCTAGGAATCAAGTGGTGGGAGGGATATTAAAAAGAGTAGAATAGATTTAGTGTGGAGTAATTTAGGGGAGAAATTGGCAATTGAGTATAGGAATACTGCCATGAGTGATCATAACATCTTGAGTCTCTGCATTGGAACAGTGATGAAAGGAAGAGGAGGAGGTGTGGTGCCTAAATGCATGTCTGCTGAATGAGGATGGTATAAGGTTCAAGTAAGAATGTATGGATATAAGGGGAGGTTTGAACGGTGAGGATGTGGGGTGTGTTGGGAGGGATTTAAAAATGAAATAAAAGGGATAAGTATAGGATTTTGTAAAAATAGGAATATAGAAAGAGAGAAAGAGAAAATGGTTAGGGAAGAGTTACATTTAGAGGCTAAAAGGGTAGATATAGAAATAGGGAGATCTAGATGAATATAGTCGTTTGAAGGATGAGCTGGGGGAGATAGAGAAGAGAACATGTAGAGGTTGCTATAGTTAGAAGTAGGGCTAGGTATGCAGTTGAAGGAGAAAAGTACAGGGTTCTTTTTGGCTTTAGAGAAAGTAAGAGAAAGTATATAGCAGAAGAAAGGAGGAGAAATAAATAAATCACTTTTGTAGGGATTGCTGAAAGAGTTGAGGAGTTTTATAGGGAGTTATTTGAGGCTGAGGAGATTGATAGGAGAGCTTAGAACAGGTGATAGATAGTATGGAAGCTAGGTTGAGTGATGAAGGTAGGGGAATGTGTGAGGGGCGATAGGACTAGGGGAGATAGAGTTAGCTATAGCAGGGTTAGGTAGGAATAAGAGTCCAGGGATAGATGGTCTGACATCTGAGTTATATAGAGTTTAGGGAGGGGCTGGCGCCAATATTCCTTAAACTGTACAGGAGCCTGGAGGAGAGGGAGGAATTGCCGGCCGGTATATCTACAGGGATTATTAGTATATTGTAAGAAAGGAAATAGGATAAGTTAAAAACTATGACACTTAGTATGTTAAACACGGATTATAAAGTGCTAGCACGGGTGTTAGCGAATAGAATTAAGAGGGTTATAAAATCAGTAGTGGGAAAACACAGGCGTATAGTATTCCAGGGAGGGATATTAGTGACACTATTAGTAGTATTAGGGATACAATTAGTCACATGAAGGAGGGTATAGGTGGGATAGTAGTTAGTTTAGATTTAAATAAAGCTTTTGATAGGGTTAGTCATGGTTTTTGTATAGAGTGTTAGAGAAGGCAGGATTTGGGAAAAGATTAATAGGGTGGGTAAGGAGGATTTATAGTAGTGCAGTCAGTTGCGTTACAATTAATGGGGTGGTAACCAATGTTTAAGTTAGGGAGGTCGGTCCGGCAAGGATGCCCTCTATCAGCAATGCTGTACGCGCTGTCAGCCGAGCCCCTCGCGACTCTGCTGCGGCAAAACAGGTTTATCAAAGGAGTGGAGGTGCCAGGAGGGGGGGTTTGTTTAGTTTATCAGTATGCAGACGACACCACCATTACCGTTAAAGATAGGGAAAGTGTTAGGGAAGTGTTGAAGACAGTTAGCTTGTATGGTAGGGCATCAGGAGCTAGGGTGAATTTAGATAAATCAGAGATGATGTATATAGGACAGGTGAGGGATAGGAGTTGTGATATAGGGTTGAGGGAAAATAAGGATTACTTTAGGGTATTGGGGATCAATTTTTAAACGCAGCCCCGCTCTCTTTAACTCCAGGCGACTTTCTGCTGCTTTCCTCCGTAATGCAGTGCTGATAGTTTCACCAAAGAGGAAAGCACTTCACAATTGCAGTACCCATAAGGAGCTGTAAAAATGCCGCAGTCTTTGCGTGGCGATCGATATCGGCCGATACTCACTCTCTGCCGATCGATCGGTGCTCTCTAAAAATGCCGATCGCGAGACGTAAAATACATGACACTTTTCTCTGTGTGCGGCTAAACAAGCTCGCCAAAATGGCTTCACCAGTCTGGCAGTATTTTAAGGTGTCCGAAAATGACAATAAAATAGCGGTGCAACGTGTGTGAAGCAGAAATCCTGCAGCTCCACCCGCTGTGACGGACCGGTGAGCGGAGCAGAACACACAAGAGTTAGACCTAACACACTTAGCTATTTGATCTACCTCTGGAACTAGTTATAAATATATGTATTCTTCACTGTCGGGTCACTCATTACTGGATCAGTGAGCTGCATGAGATACTGACAGGCTGTCAGGAGAGAGCGCCAGTGAATGAGCCCCATTAACTGAGTTTTAAACATTTCTTTAAATGGAAGCTCCCCATAGGACCCGCCCACTCGATCGGATCGGCGATCGGAGCATCCCTAATGTAAGTTGCGCTGACAGGTCCACACACTGCTTGCCCGCAGCGAGGCTCCCCCGCCCTCCTGTTGACAGTTCACGAGCGTCGAGCTCTTTTTTTAATGGCACTTCATATCAAAAAGGTTGCCGACCCCTACACTATACAGTGATTCAGTGAAAAGTTTAACCAATTTCTAGAAATGTTCAAGCCATAAATAGTGATATGATATTCTATTTTGTCAGTTTTATGACCTTATAGGAGTTGTTTTATGTTTTTTCGCATGTGTTTAATTTTTAGCAACTGTCTACCCGATGCGTTAAGCCATGCATAGCACATTTTAATTACAAATAAGGCAATTACAACTTAGGATTTTATATTATAATGTTGCCAAAGGTTTGTATAACACTATACAGTGATTCAGTGAAAAGTTTAACTAATTTCTAGACATTTTCAAGCTATCAATAGTGAATATGATATTCTATTTTATCTATTTGTCAGTGGTTATGACCTTATAACAGTTGTTTTTATGTTTTTTTGGCATGTGTTTAATTTTTAGCAACTGTCCACTCGGATGTTTTATTCCAAGAGAAAGGATATTGTCATTGTGCCAGCACACCCTGCCATCAGTGACGATGACGAGGAGGAAGATGACGATGTGGAAGACCCTGACTTTGTCCCACCCACCCACAATCTGGACATTCCAGGCCCAAGTGACATGGGCCCCTCTGCCAAGAGGTGGTGCATGGAGCCTGCAGTGCTCCAGGTTGATGACGACGATGACGACGATGACGACGATGATGACGACGACGACGATGATGGTGACAACGAGCAGTCAGCACTACAAGCCAAGAGGCCCACCAAACCCAGGAAGTCAGCAGCACGGCCAACCACCTGGCACAAAGCTGACCTGGAAAACACAGAACTGAATACCAGCACTCTCCCTCTGACTACATTGAAACCCCTTTTCAGTACTTCACAAGGTACTTTGGCCCCGAAATTATCACTCATATCACCTACCAAACAAATGTGTACGCCACTCAAAAGGACATTAACACCACTTTCACCACCAATGAGAATGAGATAATGACATTTCTGTCCATCCTGATGTATATGGGGATTTCAGAGCTCCCAGCTGTTGAAGATTACTGGGCCATGGAGACCAGAGTCCCTCAAGTTGGCAACCTGATGTCTTCAAAGAGGTTCAGGCTGCTGAAAAGGGTTGTCCATTTCAATGACAACACTGAGCTCCCTGGTTCCATTGACCGCTTTCTTCAAAATCCGGCCACTGTTCAGCTTCCTCAATTCTGCCTTCAGGCGTGAGCCGCAGACCCCCAAAACAGTCTGTGGATGAAGGTGATGGTTGCCTACAAAGGGAAGACAGCCGGCAACCTCAGGCAGTATATAAAGACCAAGCCAGACAAGTGGGGTTTTAAGTTGTTTTCCAGGGCCTCTGCGGATGGCTTATCCACGACATGGTGCTGTACCAGGGGAAGACTACTCTGGAGGCCCACGGTGTCCCCCTGACACCTAAACAACAAGCCATGGGTGTCACCAGCCAGATTGTCTCTGTCCTGGCAAGTACCATGTCCTCCCCCAGCACCACAGCCATCTTTGCGATAACTTTTTCACCAGCCTGGAGCGAGTGCGGTACCCTCCGAGACCAGAACTGCGGGTATACAGGCAGGGACAATAGAATTGGAAAGCCCCCGCTCAAGTCCATCAAGGAAATGGAGAAAAAGGCTGTCCCTCGTGGAACATGTGACTACATCATGAGTGATGATGGGATCCTGGCTGTCAGGTGGAAGGACAACAGAACGGTATCTCTGCTGTCAACAGACATGGGGGTGGAGCCTATGTCCTCATCATAGGGCTGTGGCAATTAATCATATTTTTAATCGCAATTACGATTTTGGCCTGCCACAATTACGAAAAACAACATAATCGAAAAAAACAATTATTTAGCTTTGCTTGGTTGTGACAGTGCATTGCAACATATTTGATCTAATTAATTTTGGTCTCATTTATTTGTATTTATCATATTTATATATGTTTAGTAGCTTGTTGAAGTGCGCTCCAAATATTTGTTGATCTTGTTTATTGGTATTTATTATTTTGATATTATTTATTTAAATGTATAATTTATTTAATTTATTTTTGTATTGGGTTTTCAGTTGAATTATACGTTCAGGGTAATCAACAGTTAAAAAGATACTGTTCAAATTATTATTTGTATTTGTTTTTAAAGTTCAATAAATGGATGTTTTCAAAGTCAATGAATAATCGTATTTAATAATCGTGATATCAATTATTGACCCAATAATCGTGATTATGATTTTTGCTATAATCGCACAGCCCTACTCAGTCATCAGGTACTGCAGTGAGACGAAGACGAAGGAGCCGGTGAGCTGTCCTGCTGTCATCCGGATCCTACAATGCCAACATGGGGGGGCATTGATAAGAGTGACATGTTGGTCCACCTCTACCGACCACCCCTGTTAGTAATTCTTGAACCCTGAGAGCAGGACAGACTGAAAAGAGTCAAGGGAAGCCCATAAAAGTTAACAGCATTTAATTACACAAATGATGCGGTGATATACAATTAAATCCGCAAGTGGTGGCTCCCCCCTGCCAGCTGTTGGTTCCCGTCCGCGTTGGGTCAGCTGGGGGCAGGAGGAGAAAAAGATTGATTCTTGGGCTCGCTCTTCCCGTTGTCATCTGAGGTCTTCTCCTATTGGCCGGCTCGACGGGGGCAGGTCCAATGCAATTCCTGCCTTTTTCTGTTGCTAAATTACATCATTCTGGTGTCTGTGGTTATTTAAACATTCCCTGATAACGTTTTTTCAGCCTCAATAAATGAGTGCTATTCCCAGTGTGTTTTAGTGTACAACATCACATGTTATTTCACCTTCAATTCACGGTTTCAAACGTTAGCCACATGCTAATGCTAACCGGAAATGAAGAATTTTCAGAATAAAAGTGTTAAGTTAATAGTTAGTGTGAACTTCCGGTTTCTTCAGAATAAACTGCTTTAAATTAAAATCCTATATTTAATTTAAATATTTGCCATATCAACATTGATTTTAATTTCTTACAACCCCCATGAAGTCCAAGAGGTGGTACATGCGTATGTTTGCATACGCCAGGGGTCGGCAACCCCTGGCACGCGTGCCAGCATTGGCACGCGACACCGTAACCAGTGGCCACACTAGGATTAAGTGGAATAAGTGTGCAAAATATTTAAATAAAATATTTTCGGATCCTGAACGAGGACCGCCGCCAGAGCGCGTCTCCCCGTTGCCTGCAAAAGGAAGCCATGCACGCAGCGCAGCCCCGCTCTTTTTAACTCCAGGTGACTTTTCGCCGCTTTCCTCCGTGGTGCGGGGCTGATCGTTTCACCACGGAGGAAAGCACAAACTGCAGTATCCATAAGGAGCTGTACAAATGCCGCAGTTTTTGCGTGGCTGTGCCTTTAGTTGAAAGCCCAGTGGCGATTGCTCATCTCTCATTGAAATAATATGCTACAAAGGACTGGCCATCTGTGTGTTGAACTTTCCTGTCGGCTCCCAGACCGTAGTCGAGGAGGGCAGAAGCAACAAGCTTCAGGTTCAATAACCCACTTTAGCTGAAATGACTGGAGAGAGGCGAGCTCTTCTTGGGAGGCCGTTTGCATTTATTTAGCTGTTCTTCTGTTTCACAAAATACATCACAGACCTCTGTTTTTCTGCTGCCTCGTTTCACTTCCAGAAACATACACACGCTCCCTCAGCGCTCTTACCATCCACACACACACATGCACACGCCACACCCCTCACTCTCTCCTCTACCATCCACACACACACATGCACACGCCACACCCCTCTCTCTCTCTCTTTAAGGGACAGCGATCTCATCTCACTCTGCCTGACCCTAATATCATAACATGTGTGTTCTGGAGAATCACAGAACGGACGATCGTCCTTATTATTATGCCGTTTAAACCAATTATTTAAATGTTTGTTAAATTTGGAATTATGTAAGTTGTGCTGACAGCTCCACACACTGCTTCCCCGCAGCGAGGCCCCCCCGCCCTCCTGTTGATAGTTCACCAGCGTCAAGCTCCTCAACCCACACCCCCCCCCCCCCCCCCCCCGTTGATCATTCTCGATCGTTGGCACGCTGATGACAATGAATTTTTTTAATGGCACATCATATCAAAAAGGTTACCGACCCCTGGCATACGCCATTGATGTCAGCCTCACAAATGCCTGGATCATGTACAGACGGGACTGCAAGGCCCTTGGTGTGTATGGCGTGCCTCTGAAAAGCTTCAGAATTCAGGTGTTCAGGGCTGCCAGCAACCAGTGGCCAGTCAAGTCTAGCTCCCGAAGAAGGCTCATCTTCATTGGTTGAGAGTGTGACCGTTGCTGACCCCCAGCCTGTCCGTGGACACCGCAGCCACACCCCAAATGTGGCTGTGCGGTTTGATCCCTCCCTCTTCCATGCCCCTGTACATGCCATTCGCCTGACCTGTAAGTACTGCAGCAGGAAAGGCAACATTGTAAGGTCAAATGTGGTCTGCAGGGTCTGCAAGGTCCACCTCTGCATGAATGCGGAGCGTAACTGTTTTGTCAGTTACCATGAGGAATTTGACTAATTTCTCATGTGATGTATGTTTTGTTAGTTAGCTTTAGTTTTCAGGGACCATGTTAAAAAGGAACAGTTTATAGCAGTTTGCTAATTTCCATCTGCAGTCCCTGGGCAGGTCAACATGTATACTACATATTAAATACATTATATACAAACATATTTCATACCCCTGCCACTAAAACATTTACATTACAAATATTTATTTCATACCCTTTGCACTAAAACGTTGAACATTACAATATGTATTTCATACCCTTGCACTAAAACATTTACATTACAAATATTTATGTCATATACCCTTGCACTAAAACGTTTACATTACAAATATTTATTTCATACCCGTGCACTAAAACGTTTACATATATTATATTATATTTCCATACCCCACATTTACATAAGAAATGACTCTACACTCTATTTATATTATTTATATTGTATTTAAGTGCTTATGTTATGTTCTAATGTTCTAAAATAAATGTTCCTTTGACCCTATATGTATTTTTCTCTCATATTTCTTATAAAAAAATGTTTTTACCACAAACGGGCAAGGAACCATATCTTCACTTCATTGACCTTGATTTTTTATATGAAAATGAAATATTTTAGAAAATGTCACAAAAGTAAAACAGTATTGTTATGTCCTCCAATAACACTCTAGGGTTGAAATTTAGAATTTCAAAGTATTTCAATGAGTGCCCTATACAGGGTTAAGTATTACATCAAAAATAGAAATATCTGCTCTCCGAGGAAATTGGTATAAAACCATTGGAAATATCTTTCAATGTTAGGCTGATGTTAGGCCTTTTTTTTTGTCTTCGGATATGTTCTGAAGTTGTACATTTTGTTTAAACAATACAGAAAAACATAAGGAAATTGGTATAAAACTATTGCAAAATACTTTCAATGTTAGGTTTTTTTTTTTTTTGAGTCTTCGGTATATTTCTGAAGTTGTACATTTTGTTTAAACAATACAGAAAAACAGAATAATTTTGAATAAATGTTTATTGCATTAAAAGAATGTGTAGGAGAGTTTATATTAATTATTATTATTAATAATTAGTGTTGGGTATGTTTTTTATCTACTACTTCTCCCATTCACAAATCCGAAACCAAATAAAAAAATCTATTATATGTAACAAATATATTCCATTTCAGAGCAGAAGAAACAGGGCCTTCAAGGGTCCCAACTCTGCACATACATCATTCAGCAGTGCACAGTGAAGCTCCAACATTCAACTGTATGAACAAGCAATACTTTGAAATGCAAAAGTGTGTGTGGTTGTGTACGAGAGTCTCTTTAATCATTTTTTTCAATTCTAGCGTCAAATTCGCGTGACGCGTTCTCGCGGTAGCCAATCAACGGTGAGGATCTCAGCCTGACGTTGAATCAGAAAACCAAAACATCAGCCGTTAGCTGTTAGCACTCAGAGCTCACAGCTCCTCATATCTGTTCAGAAACTGGACAAAAGTTAAACATGAACAAAACACAGACTGTCTGTGTCATGGCGAATACAGTCGCTGTTGTATCTGTGTCTGTATCATGTTGTTGTGAGTCCGGATGGAGCAGATACAACGTTAGTTAACCTGGTCGATCCGATCTCCATTCAGAAAACACGCATTT